CCCCCCCCCCGCCCCGTCCTCAGCCACCTGCAGCCCTTGGCCTCCGGCTTGTACATCTGTGAGGTTAGACAATAGTTTTGAAACATGAACTCCTGCTTTTCACCCCAGACTAGTTTTGGGGGGCGGTCTGGATGGTGTCCACTGCTCCAGGGGAGGGTCATTATCAGCAAAAGGCACAGGAAAGGCTTTGGAGTTCCAAAGCGTTGGACTTAAGGGGGCTTATGACAGGGAGCAAGAACAGTTGATGCGTCAGAGAAGGGCCTCCTGCCCTGAGGCTGGGACAATTTCCCAGGCTCTGGAAGGGGAGGAATGGAGTGGGCTCTGGGGAGAGAAGCCGGTCAGGCCTGGGGTCCAAGCCTGGGTCATGGAGCCACCCAGGCCACCCTCTGATGGTCCAACAGGACCACCTTTGGGGCTATCCACCTTACCTAAGGGGACATTCCTCGTGACGACATCCTTCAACCCCATAGTGCCCACCTACATTAACCCCAGACAAAGGAGTGGCCCTGGACACCCAGTGGTGGGGGGTGGGAGGGGTGCTTAGAAGGAAAAGCCTGAACACAGATACTGAGGAGACAGTGCCCAGAGCCCGAACAGGAGAAGACACCCATCTCCCCCACCCTGCTGGACCGGGGTAGAGTGGGGGCTGTTTCTGACTCACCCCTGTGACTCCGGTGCCCTGCCCAGGGCCTGATAAACATTAGGTGCACAATAAATATTTATTGGCCTAAATGAAACATGAGGCTATAGAGATGAGGCCCACGCTGTCCGATGACTGAGCCAGTCCCCACCCCCAAACTCCCCCTCCCAACTCACCTGCTAGTGACCACTCTGGGGTGACGATGTGACCCAGACTGGCCAATGGGATGAAGAACTCCTGGCCCTGGGCTCCCAATAAGGTTTTTGTGATGATGAATAGTCTGAGCTGGCCTAGCGTTTTGCCCTTTCCCCTTCATCCTGTCCTGTTGGGAGGTGCAGCAGCCATGAAGAGGTGACAGTCAGGAGCGCAAAGGCCTCCGTGCAAAAGGTGGCAGAGAAGGAAGATGACAAGAGCCTGGGTCGCTGATGGCATAAGTGAGCCTCTGACCCGACTGCCCAGTCTCAGCTTTCTGTACGAGTCTCGTAAATCTCTCTGTGTTTTAGCTGCAGCTTCGCACGTATTCTGTTCTGTCAGCTGAGCACAACGGACTCACGACACATTCACCGGACACCATTGGACTAAAACAGATTTGGGTTTGGATCTTGGCAGGTGACAGCTGACATCTGGATTTCCTCCCCTACCTCCACTCCCCCAAAACTGCTCTTGCCGAGGTCACCGTGTCAACGAAGGGAAATGACGTTATTGTAACGGACAATCCTGAAATCGCGGCTCAACACAATGAAGTGGGTTTCTTGTTCATGTTACAGTCCCATGCAGGTGGGGGCGGGGGAGGTGGATTGCACTACACACAATCATTTAGGGTCCCCGACTTCGTCGTCTGGCAGCCCCACTCTCCTCTGGGCGCCTGGACCCTGTTCCATGGAGGATCAGATAGGAAGTGTTTATGGTCCAGGTCTGGAAATAAAGCACTTTACCGAGATCTGCCTTCTATCGGCCGGAATTCAACCACACGGACACGCCAACATACAAGGGAGGCTGGGGCACGTTGTCTAACTCAGGGAGAGGTGGTAAATTTGGCCACCAGTGTATGCTGTCAGGGTCTCCCTCGGCCCCCAAAGACCTCCACATCCTTATATCCAGGGCTCACTTCTGAAGCCTCATTTTACGCCACCTCTCGACACGCCTCAGTGTTGGCCATTCCTCATCTCTTTGAGACTCTTCTGTTCTTGGCATCCTTCCCAACTTCTCTGGGTTTTCTCCAGCTCTCCTAGACACTCCTCTTCCACCCTGAAGGGTTAGGGGTCCTCAGGTTCCATCCTTCTCTTCTCATCCTTTCTTATCTCTCCCTGCACATCCCACCATTATTGGCTGCCTCAATCACTGGCTATACTCGTGACCCTGAATCTGTCTCCCGCCTGTCCTGTCTCCTGAGCTCAAGACTCTGGCATTAAACATCCTCCTGGACATCTTCACGTAGACCCCTCAAACTCAACAACCCCAAGCGGTTAATATCCTCTTTGCCCCCAAACCTGCTCCTCCTCCCGGGCTTCCCTGGCTGTGAATGGCACCATCATCCACCCAAAGTCTCAACTCCCAACGACTCGCTTCCCCAGGCCACGCGCTCTCAATCACCAAAGCCCTGCTGCCTCGACCGCCTAAATGTCTCTGACCTTCATCCACTCCTCTCCACAGCCATGACCGCTACCCAAGTTCATGCTACCATCACCTCCCTCCTGGACACCTGTAACAAACTCCCAAACTCCACCTGTCCAAACTCTGATCCCCAAGGGTCCTCTAGGCTAGTGCTTCTGAAACTTCAGCTGCATAGAAATCAGCTGGAGAGTTTGTTTAAAGTAGATTTCTGAGGGCGCCTTGGTGGTTCAGTCCATTAAGTGTCTGACCTGATTTCAGCTCAGGTCATGATCTCACTGCTCATGAGTTTGAGCCCCACGTCAGGCTCTGTGCTGAGAGTGTGGAGCCTGCTTGAGATTCTCTCTCCCTCCCTGTCTCTGTCTCCCTCTGCCCTTCCCCCACTTTCTCTTTCTCTCTCT